GCAAACAAACTGAAGTTGGTGAAACAATGCGGTCGTCAATCAAGCAAAATAAAAACATGAAGCTTTGAGACATTCCTGAAGTGACGTCATTCGTCACCAATCTTTCATTATGCGGTCAACTTCATTGGGTGTGGTCAAAGTGGGAAATTTAATGCTTGATTTCGTGGCAAAAAAGCACCGGAATTAATTTTTTGGGGTTTGAATACATTTTTAGATGTTACAGAGATACCAAAACCACAAAAACCCTGTTGGCCATATAGAAACTTTAAGGATCCTATCAGATCTAAACTATCAGTCTATCATATTCTTGCTTATTACAACTTAGCATTCCGTCAAGTGCTCAATATATTCTTCAATTGTGATAGTGATTATCATAGTAGATTTTACATAACTGACAATCCTACTGAAAAGTCATTTTCCCTGGAAGAGATCTTAGGATGACAAGAAACATCAGTGGGTGTACTGTATAGTATGCAAGTGACCATATACTGTAAGTTATCAAATAAATGATGCTGTTTTCTTTTAAGGAATACCTCATTCTCGTAGCACAACTGGAACATCAGTTTAGATTAGTAAGTACAAATTTACCTATCAAAAAGAATGGAGCACTCAGATGTGTTTTGCCTAAGCAAAACACACCAGTGATATAATATTATATATCTAAGTACCACACTGTGTATATATAACCTTTATTTACATGTACCCTCGGCAATGTTTATAGCGCAAGTGCTAGTGGGGCCAAGCAAACAACTGAAACAAATATTTCAAATTGAACATAACATTGTTAAGAATCCCAACTGGCTGGAGGCCAACCAGTTGGCTATTTACAAGCGTGGCCGAGGATTTGAACTTGGGGCTACTGAGAAACAAATCCAGGTAGTGGTCAGAGTGGGACTCGAACCCGGGGTCACTGGATTGCGAGTCCAACATGCTGACCACTCAGCACGCTGCCTCCTTAGTAGAATTTACCATACCCAAATTTGCAGTTAGCCAATAGGAAGCCATGTCTACTATACTGAATAGATATCCTGTGATATCAAGTCACTGACCTTATATGGCTACTATATCATGGTCACTTGGCTGAATTTGGGTACGGTAAATACTTATTGATAGTAATTCTATCTTTGTTGGCGTGGCTTGGCTGCATATCAGACCTGTTTGGTCTCCCCATGGATACTTTAGCTTCACCACTTGTATGTCTTACGAAAATACAGTATGAACCATGGCTTGACCAAACTTGCCTGATAAGCTGTCTAAGCAAACCAAAAAGTTATGATAAGGTATAAATATTACTTTTGTATATTATATGGCAGTGAGATGGTACATGTTGCATGACAATGTGATTTGGGTATTGAACTTGAAATCCAGAGTTTTTCAGTCAGGAATCACCAATGATTGGCCAGTT